GGAATGTGTACGATCCATCTCCACTTCCCTCAGCATATTAATTGCCCAATGAGTTCTTGGTTGGTTCGTTCCCAGAGTTTTTTGTTGCTAATCCTTTCTGGTCATCTAATCTTCATTATCGAGCCAGCGAAGGTAGTTATTGATGAAAATCTGCAGTAGCTTGTTGCAAATGCCTCTGATGATTGGCATGCCAAGTCCCCGAACCATATTACACGGCTAAAGGACTTGATATTTGTGTTCAATGTTGTCCTGATCTTATTCCTTATGCTGGCTGCAGTAGATTTCCATACTGACTTCACAGCGATGGTCTGTCTTGATTTTCTAACTCTAACTTTGATATCTCTATCCGTGCTGCTGCCTGTATTTGAAACGATGTTACGTCCTACAATCCCCACAAACTCCTGCAAACCAACACTCGCGTCTTTATTTCAGTGAATATATTACTAACTGAACTATATCAATTGAACGGTTGTTAATACTAATAGTTATCAAATCTATGTGGGATTAAACTGAAAATTTCCAACTGCTAAACTTCTCAATCAAGATCATAGGGAGACGATGGCTGTGTAATTTGAAATATTCACTTTACATAGAGGTTGGAAGTGCAGATATTATCTGGAAGAATAGTGGAAGCTACATAATTAAACCATCCTGTCCAGAGAACAGAACAACCCAAAGAATGGATTCCATTGTCTTTTTCATTACGATAATACAACTTCTAAACTGATGAATTTCCTTTTTCTGATTAAGAAGTTCAATGGTGTTGCAAATCGAAATCAGAACTATGATGCTAAATTATTTTGATAACACTTGAATAGTGAATATTTTAGAGAACATTTTCTTTTTCTACTGAGTATGATTGAAGTTGCCAGGAAATATGAGTCTAAGAGAAATCAGATGTCATCGTGTTTTCAAAATCACCATTTGTCTGATTACACACAATATACTGTTATTTGATGGATAATGATTGACAATGGAATCCAGGAGCCTGATTCGTCCTATTTAAGACTAGTCAAGTTTATGTACCTGCATTCCCGTGAGTGATATTGTTTCCAAAAGATTTGTGACTCACCAGAGTCACCATCAGTTAATTGACGGCAAGTTACACTCATGGTCTGAGAAGACAGTTGGGTAACATCGTGCACCAGCCCGTCGCTCGAGTGAAATCCGAGTGGGAAACGATCAGTTCGGCATCACCGAGAGACCGACGTGGAGGAGAGCGTATGGGGAGGAGATGAGAGACTATGGCCAATCTTGAGTCCAGATAAAGAGGACTGAAGAGAATAGGACGAAGCAGAGGTGTACTGCTGAAGCATCATGTTATAATCAGAACCCAAGGGAACAATAATAATAATACATTATCATGGTGTCGCCATACCTTCAGTACTGGGAGGCAGTATGTTAACACAGATCAAGTATTTCAGACCAACGATATCAATAAACAATGTAAAAGTATTCCACCCAGCTGTTGTGGGAGCAGATTTCTACATTTAATGAACGAACTAGCTGAAATATAATAGCTGGTGGAAACTCTCATTTATTGATCCTAGTAATATTTTAGGTGTGGGATACTCAACTCCATGGTTTACACTGTTCTTCCACAGAGATCTTCTAGTCAGATTCTTTTGTCTCCTGACAGTATTAAGTCTATTGCTATGTTGCCATAAGGGGTATCATTAAAATTTCCTTAAGTCACTAATAAACTTTACAGCCAATCATCTACATATTCTCTCCAATAATTAGTGACAAAAAATTTGTTTTGAGTACAAGTGATTATCGAATGGAAAATTTCATCATAAGCTGATATCAGTTAGAGAACCACTGAAAAACCTGGAAGCACTGGAAAGTTGTTTTGTCGACCATTGTCTACCACCTAGTCTTGTGACCAGAAGTTCCTGGGTTCGAACCCCGGGGGATATGCACTGATGAAGAGTCCCATACTAATACGAAATAGCTGTCCAGTACTCTCAGGTTTTCCAATGGTTCTCTAATTGATGTTGGCTCATGATGAAATCCTTCACCCAATCAAACAAAATCCCTATGAAAACCAATACTTGAATATTAGTGTTTATATTTTTCTGTACGTTGAAGTTTCTACGGCGACTGGACTGGTTTTCCGGGGTAGAGTCGTTAGCCCCACGCTCAACCTCCCCTCTTTTTCCGGGCTTAGGACCGGCTAGCAAACTAGATACCAATCAATATCAACGGGAGAAATTTCAAGGTGGTTACCACTTTCACTTATATAGTCATCATCGTTTCAGCTGCAGGCGGTACCGATGAAGGTATCAGAGACAAGATTGGAAAGTTAAAACAGACCTTCATTACTCCTAAATCAGTGTGGAAATCTGTTTCACTTCGTATAAAGGACCAGATTCAGATTTCTGACGCTAATATCAAGTCAGTGTTGTTGTATGGTACAAAGATTTTGCATGTCCATCATCAAAAGCATTTCGAACAGGCTTCAAACTTTTTTAATTATCAACTACCTTCGTTCCATACTGAAGATCAGATGGCAACAAACAATTTTGGCAGCGAACTAACCATAGCCCATCAAATATGCCACAGAAGATGAGGATGGATAGAACACACAGTGAAGGGGCTTTCGAGTGAGTGACGCCATACACAAACACTCCAGTGGAACCGGAAAGGGAAATTACAATTTGGGTATTTGAGGGTGACAATGGAAAAGTTTGTGTCAGTTATGGACATTCGTGTAGCCAACTGAAGACAACTGCAGAGAATAGGATGAAATGGTGATATGCTGCTGAATCCCTGTGTTCCACTCGGAACCTAAAGGAATAATAATAATGAACGTTTATGTCATCTACGCTAATTATCAAACGTTCGAGTCTGATTGATCACTGGGCCAGCAGTCTGGAGAATAGTTATTCATTTCACTATTAATCATCGCCCGCTGCATAAACGAAAGTTTGATAGTGCAAGCAGTCATCATGCCCAATGAAAATTGCTTTCAATCTGCATAAAATTACTGACACGGCCGGTTAACTATCTAGAAGAAAGTCATATTAGCTTACTAATGCTAACTGGTCTTATCCACTAACCTAATCTAAGAAACTAATGTTGTAATGTTCTGGTTAGTATCCGATCCCGGTTGTTCATTTGTTGGTTTATTTTAGTAATTTCTGAAATTATAGTCGTAATTTCAATCGTTTGGATTTCTGATAAACTGTTTTGTGTTTGTCCTTGAATCAAGTTTTAGTTCAGCTAGACATTGATAATTTTCCATTCGTTCGCTTTTAATTGTGTGGTCCATAGAGGGGGGAATTCATTACATAGATGTGCCTGCATTTACCGACTGTGATGATGTGGCTGTTAAGATTCGAATCCAGGAACTAGTTACTTCAAACACCAAAGCGTTATCTAGTAGACCATAGGAACTTGCCCATATGCAACGGATACGATTTCAAATGGTTTATTCATACATGAGGCTACCCGTTAGCATATCTGGTCCTTTCTAGACTGTAGGGCCTGTGGGGATTTGGATTAATTTCAGTTGTTAGATTTTGTCACTAACCTACATGAATTGGAGAGACCAGTGAAAACGATGGGGCAATGGACAAGTACTTGTCCTAGTTTGGGACTCTGTAGCAGTGCACACGTACAACTTTATAAGGGGCCGAATCCGGAACCTTTAGGTTAAGAGACCAAACACGTTGACTATTCAGCCACTTAGACCGAAATTTAGTGATACGTGATCTCTAGCTTTGTCAGTTTTTGACATAACGCTAACCAAAAACCACTGCCTTTGATGAGCATCCACACACTTTGATATGCTGCATCCCACTGGCCACGACTTCTCACCACATCCAATAGGCATCAGTAGGCCGACGACTAATATTTACATTTTAGGATTTATGGGGATTTAGATTAATTCCGATTGTTATTTGATTATCCGGTTGTCGTTAGCTATATATCGAGACTACCGTTCAACTAGCTCATATACCAAAATAAGACAAATCTATGGTTTGTTTTATGTTTGAGTTACCTACTGAGTAAAATTACCTGATAGTGGTTATATTCAGAGTAATGACTGAAGAACAGAGTTAATTCCACCCCTTCCATTTTACTATTTACTACATAAGTCTATCTATTTTAAACAGTTACCATTGTTATCAATATTTCCAATGACATTTCAAAAATAAGATAATTCAATATTTTTTCTAGCAAAAAGCATTCATAACCCCTCTCACCAAATGTGTGTATGTGTGGCTGATTTCAGAATAACATCATCTGGAATCATCGCACCTACCACGTAGTTTATCATTTATCTAATTGCTAATTGGCTAACGCGATAAACTATCTCATCGACCAATAAAAATAATAATCGCTTCTGACAATAGAAACACAAAGATAAGCTGTTATACAAACATAATAGATATATGTATATATACGCGCATGTGCATAAGTATGTCTATTCGTATATGATATAGGCATGCTTGTAGGTGTGTACGTTTGTTATTTGATTAAGAAAGGATATTTGATAACTATTTTAGACAAATAATATGTATTAAATCAGGAGAGAGAGAAAAAAAATAGGACGGACACGTATGTTGTTTATCTTAAGGAAGAGCTAACTATCCATTGTGTTCTCTCTTTGGTATTCATTGATACTGACTAATAAATGCATATATGCACATTATTTGGATAATAATTTTTAATCCCCTTCTCTAATCACATTTGAATATAACAGATTTGTCTCATTGTATATATATAATATATAAATTGTTCATATAAATTCTATCCGGCATTCTTCAGTCTCATTGTGATAACATAACTATATGATAACAACAAGTGTATATTTCTATCCCTGAAGAAATTATTAATTGAAGGTTATTCAAACGCACATCTAACCGTCGGTGGTTTTCATTGTCCTGCATTGCCTACGTTATACTTCATTTATCTATTACCGTGTTAATAACAACGATTCTTCACGGGATAAAACTGTTCTTAAAAAACTTCATTATTTGATCATATCATCTATGGATGCTCTAATTGAAGACTCCTCAAATCCACGGATAATTCCTACCACAAACCATACTAACCATGATAACATTAACAACAATAACATTAATGGTAATAATCATATTGTGCTATCACAGCAATCTCCGATAATCAGTGAAATTACACCAAGTGTGTCTATTACTCTCCCTTCACTTATTCCCAAACATGATGACAGTGATGAACACAGTAAAACTTTAATTCATGTGCTACGTTGTAGACACTGTAGCTTTGAGTCCATTTTAAGATCACGTTTTGATAAACATTTGCCATGTTCACAAGAAATGGACAATTATCAATTGTATACATGTTCAATATGTTCAACGTGTTCAACATCACAACTAATCATGGATGAACACAGGAAAGTGCATCATCCGAATGAGAGTAAAGTGAGTTCTTGTTTTTCTTTTATTCTATTATTTTCATATATACATCTTTAATAGCAAAACACTTATTGATATTAGTAACATCAATGTTTTGAATTCTATCGAATCAATAATATCAATCGATTACAGTTGAAAAGTATCTGTCAGTAATAATATACTCAGAAATGTTATATTAAACTGAATATCAGATAAATTAAGAAAAATAATGCTGAATTTTTGAATTTATAGGTTCCACAGAAGGTCAGGGTAGCAATATCGACTGGACCTGTTTCTTTTGCACATAGAACACTGGCTGTTTTAGGTGAATTGCAATGAACTCTACTGTTTGGAGTTTTTGGTATCTAGGTAGCTTCGGTAATTTATTCGATACTCGATAGATGATGGAGAAGGACTCATCAGTGTTAGCTTTGTGGTCTGTTTGGACCAGTTGGTCTAATATTAAACTACCGATGGTCATTTTTAATAATCGAGTACTTTTAAAGAAATATAAAGTTCTTTTTATGTGGGATTTATGGAGCCCTAATAAAACATGAACATAGTAAATATTGTCGAATAGTTTCAAACAAATATGTAAAGTAAGCATGTCATTGGAATTTGGTTGAGACTCCACAGAGTCCTACTACTTCTTCATGTTCACATTTGAATGTAGTTGAATTTTTATTCGCTAAAGCATGGTCTATACGTGGCTAGGCTAGCTCATCTTTGAGCTCATATTATTCATTGGTAAATGCTTGAATACCAAACTGAACATGTATGTCAATCAGTGATATTTATGCATTTCAGTTTGTTAGAATAGGCAGATACGTGTACTTTATTAGGTGGCAGTTGCTTACATTTTATATCTTCTTATGAAGGATTGATAACGTGATGAGCGGACAAAGTTTATATGACCTTTCGTTTGTACATTTAGACTGCTCTGTTACTTCTTAAAGAAAAAAAGAACTAAGGAAAATTTAGTGGAATGTCTCAACCGATAGTAATTTTTTCATCCCTTTGCATTCCGAATAGAGCATGGGGCTTCGAACTCAAGCTTTGAAATTCCAGAAGCGTTTTTTTTTCTAGGAAGTAGAGTTGTCAACCTTACTCCCAACCTCCCTTTTTTACTAATGACTTACTGTAGGTTAAATGAGGTGTACGAATGCATCGGTGAGGAGTCGAACCCAAACCACACATGTGTTGGCGAGCATTCTATCAGTGAACCACAACCAATAGTAACAAAGCCTCATGTTCGGATGTTTCTTATACATACAGACACAGACAGACAAATATTTTACTGATTACTGTAGTGTGATACACGAAACTCAAAGAATCACCAACCCATAAGCGAGAATAAAAACCTCTGAACACTACTTAAAACAAATGTCTTCTTCGGTATGGTTATGCATGTTGTAGTAGTACTCTTTGTCGTAAACTCTTCCAGATAATGACCATTACTATAATTATGACATAAAAGAAACTCTGAAGTATTCCTGGTATACTTGTTATACTCTCAAAAGTATTTGAAAAATTTGAATGTGAAATGGAGAAGAAATGATGTGTCTCTGTGAACACATACTCACACTGGTGTATTCATGTCAGCAGATACAACTGCTTACTTGTATCGGATTTTGAATATTAGTCCCATTTTATTCAAAAATAAATATTGTATATTTCGACATACTGATATTTAATTCTTTAATACAGTACTGTACTACTGAAAATAAGTAGTATGTCAATCATTCTCTAGGTGATATTTTTTATTTAGAAAATTATTTTCACTCGGTATTGGATTCCTATGTAAGTGGTTGTGTGTGTGTGTGTGTGTATGTGTATGTGATTGACACAGAAATGAGTGAGTCTACCCTCAAGTGAGTTGATAAGAATAAATACCCAATGGAAGGAGACCGTACAGACATTCTAAGAAGGAATGTCACAGTTAACAGTTTGAAAATACAAAAATAGAGAGAAAAAGCACAATAACACTTCCTTCCACAAAGTAAGGGTTTAAATACAAAAAATCACCAGTGGTTCAGTAACTTAGTCTACTGGCCTTCTAATAAATTAGTTCATTCATTCATCATTGTAGGGTATACGCGATAAATTTTGAAGTCATTTGTGATATCTTAGTCTGCACCTTTAGTTACCTCTTCCAATGGATTTGCTACGAGCGATTTCCTTTCAGTCATAATATTCTTCTCATATACGAAAAAAAATGTGCGTTGGTGGTTTAATGGTAAAGTGCTCACTAGCCATGCTACAGGGCCGAAACACTCCCGAACGTCCTCTTGATTATCAACTGGTAATAAGCACGAAAAAGAGGGGAGATGGCTCATCAAGCTAGCAACGCCATCCTGTCAAAACGATATCACTGCTACTGAAACGTCAGTGCTGAAGTTTGAAGCTCGGTGTTCATTTCTGAACACAAAGAATGAAGAAAAGAAATCGAAATTTTTACAGCTTAATTCCACACTGTATTTTTGGTACAAGTATGGAATTTTCAGCATGGATATCGGTAGTCCAAATTTTACCGGCTGACCATAGATATCAGGTGTGTGTCGGTAGGGGATCGAACCTAGGACCATGTGCATGGTCGGCGAGCGTCCTAACCGCTGTGCACCGACGCAAATTCAAACGTACTTACCATTTTCAACATAAAGAAATGAGTTCATTAATTTGGGACTAATCAACTGAATAGATTTCATTTCTTTCAGTAATAATGAAGTTACTATTTACCGAATGTGTTCGCTAGTCCTACCTCCAACTTTGCTTCTTTTCTGGGCTTAAAATCGGCTAATAAACTAGATGAGTCTGAGTATGTGTTTTTGTCTGGACTCGAACTACGCATCTCCTCTGTAACAAACAAAAATATAATTAACAAAATCACTCAGTGTAGATGATATGGACGATAGCTTAGTATGAAATATCTTTCAATCAAATTTTAAGCTTATTGGTTATTATTATTATTGTACCCTTTAATTCCTAGAGGAACATAGGGCTTCAGCTGCCCACCTCCATTGCCTTCTGTTTTCTGCCAACTTTTTCACCCCGCTCCAAGTCTGTCCACATGCTTTCATCTCCTCCTCGCATGACCTCCTCCAAGTCACCCTTGCACTGACGACCAACTCGCCACTTTCCTTTCGGGCTCCACTCGAGCAATGGTTTGTCTAGTGATGTCACTTGATGGTTTCCTCAGAGTATGGCCACCAATCCATCTCCATTTCTTCCTGCCTATTTGTTTCAAAATCGGTTCCTGGTTGGTTCGCTCATTGCCAGCGATCCCTGCTGCTGATCTTTTCTGGCCATTTGATCTCGAGTATTGAGCGAAGACAACTGTTAATGAAGGTTTGAAGCTTGTTTGAGATGCTCTTTATGACGCGTCAAGTCAGGTTCCTCCCATTTATGCTGGCTGATTGTTGTCCGTTGTTGTTGTTGTTGTTGCTGTTGGTGTTGGCCAGGAATCTTTATCACCTCTGTTTTATCTATGTTCACTTGAAGTCCTATCTTCGATGCTTATTGGTTACTTCATGTTAATTGTACTGAAAGTCTTACTTGTCTTAATGTTGTGAAACGAGAATAATGGTAAATATGTCTGCATTTCTAGGTAAAATCTAAGTCATCAAAATATATTAAAGGTATCATCGAACAGAATAAAAAACAGTACTGCTTGTGCAATAATCACTAGCATTTTCAAAGTTAAAATTCACTGGCCACTGGATTTCATCTCGGGAATATCTACTCATGTGGCTAAATAAAAGTGTTGTTAAAATTATCAACATGTCTACATTGGATCCCTTATTCCAAACAGACCACAAAGCTGGCACTGAACAATCCTCTTCTATCATCTATCGGGTATCGAATAAATTACCAAAGGCCTCTAGGTATCGAATACTTCAAACAGAAGAAGCCATTGCAATTCCCTCAAATCAATCAGAGTTCTGTGTGCAAAAGAAACAAGCTCAGTCACTCAGAATAATAATCTCAACCAATAAGATTTACTGTAACCTGTAGTGCTCATTAGTCAGATCAGCATTACTTAATCACTGAAAAACCTTTTCCGTCAGTCTATCGTAACCAAGCTTGTTCGCTAAATGCTTAACATACAGTGGTACAATCTTTGTTATGTGGCTTAATAGTTCACAAACTAAAATGATCACCTAATATTCGTATAAATTTAGGTAAGACGGTGAGTATGAGTACGTAATGGACACACTCTTGGCTAACCCTACATAACCTTCACTGGTAATAGTAGTAGTAACAGTATTCAGCATTCACTACATTGCTATGTGAATGTCTTAGTCAACAATCTGATGTTTGGATAACTGATAATGAGACTTGTAGAAGTTTGATTGATTTTGTCAAGCTAATCTTTATTTCAACTAAATTTAATTTTAACGTTTCTCTTAGTTTTAATTTTGGCGGTATTTGTATATTTAAATACCTGGGGGACAATAATAATAATGAGACGTCTCATGAATTAACGGGACTCGAACAAAGGAAATCAACTGGTGATGGCCGTGTAGTAATAACATGTTTTTATATGAATATCAGGTGATCATTTTAGTTTGTGAACTATTAAGCCACATAACAAAGATTGTACCACTGTATGTTAAGCATTTAGCGAACAAGCTTGGTTACGATAGACTGACGGAAAAGGTTTTTCAGTGATTAAGTAATGCTGATCTGACTAATGAGCACTACAGGTTACAGTAAATCTTATTGGTTGAGATTATTATTCTGAGTGACTGAGCTTGTTTCTTTTGCACACAGAACTCTGATTGATTTGAGGGAATTGCAATGGCTTCTTCTGTTTGAAGTATTCGATACCTAGAGGCCTTTGGTAATTTATTCGATACCCGATAGATGATAGAAGAGGATTGTTCAGTGCCAGCTTTGTGGTCTGTTTGGAATAAGGGATCCAATGTAGACATGTTGATAATTTTAACAACACTTTTATTTAGCCACATGAGTAGATGTTCCCGAGCATGAAAAATTAGGTTCCAAGGGCAACACTCAATATAACTAAC